GGTTCGGCCACATCTGGAGTACGCGGTCCAGTTTTGGTCGCCGATACTGAGAAGGGATGTCCTTGAACTGGAGAGAGTCCAGCGGAGGGCAACAAAACTAATTAGGGGAATGGAGGATCAGAGCTATGAGACAAGGCTTCTGACCTTAAACATGTTTACGCTGGAATTAAGGAGATTAAGGGGGGATATGATTTTCATGTACAAGATGTTCAATGGTGACAGCAACATTGGCAACAAACTGTTTGAGATTAACTCCATTACAAAGACTAGAGGACACCACCTAAAGTTGGTGGAGAAAAAATTCCAGCACAATGGGCGAAGAGGGTTCTTTACAGTAAGAGCGGTTAAGGTCTGGAACTCACTGCCATCGGCAGTGATTTCAGCCAAGAGTGTAGATTTGTTCAAGAAACGTTTGGACAATTTCTTGAGGGACCGTAATATCCAGGGATACCAGTATCCCTAAGAATGAGATGATGCGCGGACCTATATGGGTTGGACTTGATGGACGTATGTCTTTATTCAATCCCAAATACTATGTAACTATGTAAGGAGGCAGGTCCCGACGGTGGAGGAGGCTGAAAAAAAGGAGGAGAAATAACAGGGCTCCATACAAAATTTTGCTATGGGGCCCTGTGATTACCAGTTACGCTCTTCCTTGTAGCCCATAATACTGGTGATTATTTTGTTGAGCTAGGTGTTCAGCACAACCTCAGCTGGACCAGACATGCAACTAAGTGTGTGTGTCTCTTGATATGGCCCTTAGGTCCAAGAGAGTGGAGCCAGAACCTCCCATCACTGAAATTGTTTAACTGTAGGTCCACAGCAAATAGGCACTACAGATTGTAGGGCTTCAGCAGGATAGCCAAGACTGGCAGATTTTTTTAAAATGCCAAAAATGCTTATGCAGTTTAAATATATTTTTCATCAAGGAACAAAGACTACATATATAACTTGCATGAGAAAAGTTTTATTTTGTTGTGCAAAGCGAAAAAAACAAAGTATTAAACGTACAGGAGAAATTGAAGGCAGCAACACAGCTGCAAACTGAGGTGTCGTTCACATAACCTACAGAATGTTGACGCACACGTAAATGAACTTGATAATCATGTGATGATTCTTATAATTGTCACTCAATCAACAATATTCTGATTCCAGATAAACAAGTATACAGCAGCTTTCATTAATATACTCCCTCTGGCTATTATAATGATTCACAGAAATCAATCTTCATCATTTCTTAACAGAAATCCGCTTTTTTGTTTGAGTAAATGTACTTCACACATCATCACGTGTACTGTGTCACCGAAGAAGCCAGCGTCAGTGTGTTTCCTCCCCAGTGCAGTAAGGAAAGACAAAGAAATAGTATGTGTTTTGAAAGACAGACTGATATATGAAAGAAGGTTTCCAGTTTGCTTGAGCAGGCCCAATCTCTTCCATTCTTCACGGTGTTCGTGGTGTCTTTTAACTCCTTTTAGTTGGTCCTAAACATAAAGCAGATTCTGTCACTTATGGGAAACGTGTTCTGTAGTGTATGAAGAGAGGTCTATGAAGCTGGAACATAACCAGGCTCATAGATCTACACAGCCTAGAACACCACTTTGCTATCTACAGCAGACCTCCAGGTAAAGATAAGGCAACCTTTAATTTAATTGTTATTCCTTCATATTTCATAAAATGATTGAACTTTGGTGGAAAATTCAGAACTACCCTTGCAGTGGTGCTACTCCCCCATAGCAGGGGCTAAATGCTCATTTTTGTCTAGGGTACCTTTAAATGCAGTTTTACTTACCTTATCCCTTTGCTCTCACTGGTATCCTCCTCTCCATGCATCCAGTCTCTCGAAGATAATTCTCTTCAGTGCTCTTTTAGTAACAGGCTTACTGATGTGATCACAAATGGCTCTGCATTGTATGTAAGGACCCCAAGGGCCCATCCACATCCTGGGGCATTGGAGGGAAGAGGAGAGTGCCAGCTGTTTGGACAGCGAGGGATAAGGCAAGTTAAACTACTTTTTAATGGCGCCCTAGACAAAAATGAGCCACTTTACAGGCAGTTTAAGGGGACCCCGCCGGCATGATATTTAAAGGAGTGAACATTTGAGCACAAAACCAGCAGAATGAGCACAAAAATTAGCATTTAAGCCTTGCAGTGAGGAGGGTGCCCAACTGCAAGGATACATTTTGAATTGTCCCCAAGGTTCAGCTTTAAGCTTCTTTACCTGAAATCTGTTTTTATAACGAGATGCTATATTTCAGCTGAAATAGGCTTGTAGAGTTAATGTCTTCTATGTATGGTGATTGGCAGGATTGGGAAATGTTTATGTGTTTTTTACAGAAGTGAGAGTTCTCAGGGTGGGCATCACCAAATGTGCAATGAACATATAGAAGGTGAGTTAGTGGCACAGAGTCTAGAGAACCGTAGGCTTTAAAAAGTGCAGGCTCAATGTCCCCATCCCCCTTTCCCCCCCAAACTCTTGCTGCAAGCTGTGGATTTGGATGAAGGCAGAGCCTATACATGCCCCTCTTGCATAATTATACTGACACAATGCATTCTACTGTGGAATGTAATTAGGTGTCTAAGTGACAACTTTCTATTACGACTCTTAATCTGGCATTGGTATAATCTTCTGGGGCCTTTAGTGTGCAATTATCAGTATATTCTGTGTTTTATCTCATGCTCCAAATGTGTACTTATATATTACAAAGTCAAACCTAATCTAATTCAACTAAACTGGAGGATGGTCTTATGCTATGTAGGCCTCAAACAAGACTGCGTTCCAAAAGAACAAGAAGGTGAACCTGAGCAGGTAACTGAAACCACAACCTTACCAAACTCTTCATGCATTTCTTTTCAAGCTTGTGGGCAGAATTATGTTCAAGGAGTACATGATTAGTACAGGTACCAGTCTATCATAGGGGAGAGTATAATATACTGTATTTATTTTGCTAGGCCCCATTCAAACTTGCGTTTGGGGGCAGTCTTACAAATTGTTCCTTGAGACACAACAGGGTTAATGTGAACATCTGCAAGCGAGAAGTACTATAAAAAGTAATTCCAGCTTTGTCATTGTCTCTCCTATTGAGAACAAAACATTATTAACTGAACTAAAAAAAAAAAAAATTTGAATGTTTTTAAATCTATGGATTACTTTTGTACGTTTTAATAAAAGGGCCTCCATGTACAGGTGAAACTCGAATAATTAGAATATCGTGCAAAGTTCATTTATTTCACTAATGCAACTTAAAAGGTGAAACTAATATATGAGATAGACTCATTACATGCAAAACAAGATAGTTCAAGCTGTGATTTGTCATAATTGTGATGATTATGGCTTACAGCTCATGAAAACCCCAAGAACCCCAAATCCACAACCTCAAAAAAGTAGATTATTACATGCAATTAATAAAACAAGGATTGTACATAGAACAATATCGGGCCTCTGAAAAGTACAAGCATGCATATGTACTCAGTACTTGGTTTGGGCCCCTTTTGCAGCACTTACTGCAATTACTTTTGCACGATATTCTAATTATTCGAGTTTCACCTGTATATACAAGTAGAAGAGTGGGCACCGGCACTCCAATAGCAAGTCAAGTCTGTCTATTTATTGACCTACATGCTGCATAGCAAAATACACTTAGTGCAACGTTTTGTTTAGTGGGCTTGTTTCTGCAAGATGAAGGGGATCCTGTGTGAGCCCGAAACATTGCACTAAGTGTATTTTGCTTTGCAGCATGTACGTCAATAAATATACAGACTTGATTTGCTATTGGAGTGCTTATGTTTCAAGGCGGAAGCCATCCGTCGACAACCGTTGCATTCACTAACGGAACAGCGGCTCTGAATGAGGTGGGTATATGGACTGTATCATGTATATACAAGACCCGCTAAAAACTGACCATAAAAGCAACAAAGGTTTCAGATCTATTAGTCGACCGCTTAAGGGTCTATTTATTAATATTTCCACCCAAGATTCACACAACTTTCACCTAACATTTCATTAAAAAAATGTGTAAATCTTGGGTAAAAATGTTGATAACTATACACCTTAGTTTTCAAACTGTGTTGATTCAGGCAGAGATATTTAAGCTACTCCAATCGCCCAATAATCACCTGGAGGCGTTGGCGTTGAAGTGTTCCCCGATGTTTTTCCTTTATCCCCACTTGTCGAGCTGCCTTGTCCAGTGCTGTTGCTGCAGATAGAAAGTAGTTTTTTGAAAACATATCGCCATTATAGACAAAACACTAATCATGATGGATTATAATAAATGGGCAGTGGTCTACAGCTGAAAGAAGATCTTTCACACTCATGAGCAGTGAACCATTTCTTGCTTTTCCAGTAAGCTAACTGTGGTGTGAAGTGATGGACTTGATATGTAAGTTGTTTGATTAATTTTTAAGGTATTAGACTAGGAGGGCATAACCGCTTTATCAAAGTATGTTTGTTTGTTTGTTACAGTGAGTGCATACCAGTTTGTTACAGTGAGTGTATATCAGTTTTCTGTGACATAGGGCGATCCGTTGCTAGTCATATTGATAACAGTGGTATTGATAACAGTGGTACACCAACCCTTCTGAGCAGAGCCGTAGCTAGCTCCTTTTGCGCCCAAGGCAAGAACAGAAAATTGTGCCCCCCCCCCCCAAAAGACATGTTATTATTATTATTTTATTTATTACTTTTTTATTTTTACTGTTGGGGCGCTTCGCGGAAATGTTGGGGGTCTAAACAGACCCCTGGCATCTCCCTTTTGGAATAGGGAAAGAGATTGAAGACACAGAGTCTTCTGTCCACACAATTGAGGGAGAGCAGCAGGGATCCAAGGAGAAACTGGAGCCTGTGCCGCTCCTCTTCTCCCTGCCAAGCCGCGGCTGTGTTGGCCTCCTGATGCAGGTGCCTCACTCGCCCCATGGTAGCTACAGCCCTGCTTCTGAGTACATACCGCTTCTGCAGTAAGCTTGGACCAGGTACCCCAAGGGACAATATTCCTGCCATTCTTCATTTGCAATGCAATTTCTTACCTGCCATCCATGAGTTTTTGGTATGTTGCAATCTCGGCCTCTAATTTTGTCTTGATGTCCAGCAGATCTTCATATTCAGCAGTCTGGCACTCCATCTCTGACCTGATCTGTGTTAGTTGCTCCTCAACAGCGGTAATGCGCATCTGGATCTGGGCAATCTTTGCGCAGTATTGTCCTTCTGTTTGTGCTAAGGTTTCTTCAAGAGATTTTTTCTGTCAATGAAAAATCAGCACGCATGAACCACTAACCCAAAATACAAACTGATTTTGCATATGGATAAAATGATATCTGAGCATTGATTGTTATCGTTTGAAATTCACTTATGTTTCTGGCATCTGTCACGTTAAAAGATCATTCAAAACAATTTTTCTATATCTATCACTATAATAAAAACAGATGCTGGCTAAGGGGGGGCATGGTTGCTGACTCTCCCCCCCATCGCACCCCATGGCGAAAATGGCTGCCTTGGTGTTAACAATGCTTGTTTCAAATAGTGCTGTGATCAGTGATGGTGAGTCTGCACTTTTAACCAGCTCAGCACCTCTGAGGAGCCTTGGTCACTGCGCCTGCTTGAGTGACAGGTGCAGTGGCCAGGCAGAGAGCTCAATAATGCAGAGCTAATGGTTTTAACAGGCTCAGCATTAAATTGAGGTTGAGTTGTCCATGTGGACACTACAGCCTCATTGCTGCCCCCACAGTTCCCTTCATAACTGCCACCTGAGGTAACCACATCAGTTGGCCTCATGGAAGGAATGGCCTTGTCAGTCCCACTGACCATGCGTCTAATCCTTACTCTTTTGAGAGGTTAAAGCTTGCTGAAGAATCTTCAGCATATGACACTATTAGGAGTATCAGATGTCTGGTCCTCCTCTACGCTCTGTGGTTTCATCCACTGGCCCCTACGTCATGACAGGACATATTAGTGACCTAGGAGCCAGAAGATCGAGCCACAGTGCTCTCCAAGGAACCATGCATCCAACATACCTGGAAGTGTTGCAAGCTGTATATTTTTTTAGAGTGGTAGCTCTTCAATAGAGAAAAGATTGTCAGAGCAGGAAAGGTACGTTTTGTCTTTCCTTTACAGGAAATCCTTGTTTTCAATCACTTCCGTTCCCTCTTCAGTGGCTGACAGATTTTGACCATCAACCATACTGCAAATGCTGATATACTATGAAATATTTACATATTTTTTTTACATATAAAATATGCTTTTATGTAAATGTGTAATAACAACCTCATGTCCTGTCCCTGTCTCCCTGAGACAGAAAAGGAAGTAAATGGAAACCTCTTCAATGTTGGTGGAAATCCATTATGTATGTGCCGATTGAAAGACTTTGCCCTCAGCTGTCTGCACCTGTAACATTTTGGATTTCCCATCCAATGGTGGGAAATACATACAATGCTGAATATGTCCCAGTGGGGACACAAAAAGCAATAAATATATAACAATGGATCTAACCTTTTTCAGCTAAAGAGGTTAGAAACACAGTTTAGGCTTTATTTCTTCTTTTAATCTGCAGTCTAAAATGTACATGAATTACATACCATTGCAAGTTGTGACTGAAGCTCAATCTCCAAGGCTTGAAGTGTCTTCTTCAATTCAGAAACCTCACTCTTGGTGGTCTTCTCTTCTGTTACTACAACTTGTATTTGCTTCTGCAAACCTTCACTCTAGGGTAGCAAAGTAAATAAATAAAATACATTTTTTTGAAGGTGATAACCAGAGGTATACCAGAATATTCTTGATTCCCAAGTAGAACACAGACCTCTTTTGCATCCATTTTGCATCCTATAATATACATTTTGGGAGCCCAGATTATTAGATGGAGGGGTAAAAACCTTATATTTCAGTGCTCCCCACTGAAATATGTAATTTATAGCTCCATTGCAAACAAAGTAGCTATGTGACATGGCACTTCCAGAGCAAAATGCTCTGTGTTGCTCCCGAAAGGTCACATGGCCCTCTTCTCCACAGGGCAACACATCAGAGGTCCTGCACTCACTTGTTCAAGCATGATGTATTATAGTATGCATGCTGCTGATCTGCTGCATTGCTAATATGAGGCCAACAACAACTATCATCATCATTACCTTAGTGAGTTCTACAGGAATGGCAAGTTAAGCAGGTAAGCCTACACTTCCCTTTTGCTTAGCCATTCCAAGATGTTTCATTGCAAATTGGGAAAGTAGCTGTATATAGGATACCCGAATCCCATCACCTTAGATCCCTGGTACCCAACCTCTGGCTTGAGCACTGCATGCCACCCTGTAGGGTTTGTCATCTTGGCTGTGAACCCCACAGTTAGTGGTGGAAATATTTATTTGTAAAATTGGTTGTAGCAGTAATCTCTAGCAGTTTCAATTAGAATATCCCCAGTCTTGGACTGTCTCCTATTGCACAACTCTTCTACCACGCCTGCCATGCCTTGATGGCATCATGGATCACTTTTGAGGACCGCAATATATAATATCTCATTGGTTGACAAGAATTGCCGTATATCATTTATGTAGCTGTATAATTTGTATAATATAACAAATAAATGAATGTAAAATAGTCAAAATTTCTTACCGCCTTCTTGAATTGTTCTTCTGCTTCCTTGCGATTCTTCTCAGCCAGAGCCTCATACTGCTCTCGCATATCATTCATTTTCTTTAGCAGATCACTTCCTGGAGCAGCATTCATTTCTACGCTGACATCACCAACAGTTGTTTGTTGGCCTCCTTTAACCTCCTACAGGTTAATTGAAAAGAAATATGTGTCATGTTACATCATTGCAGCACAAAAACCAACAAAAGTCGACAGAATTAATGAGAGTCCTTCAGGGCTTACCTCATCATGGTTCTTCTTAGTAAGAGCAATTTCTTGAACAAGGCTTTCAACCTGAGATTCCATGTCAGATTTGGACAGGGTCAGGTCATCCAATATTTTGCGTAGGCCGACAATGTCAGCTTCTACAGCTCTGCGCAGAGTAAGCTCATTTTCGTACCTGACAAATGGAACACATGGAGCTTAATGTGTTATAGTGCAAAGTCGCAGGTATTTACACAAAGGTGTTGTCCCAGACCCAAATAAAACTCTTTTTTTAATATGATGAAGCATTTTCATGATATAAACATGCAGTATGCTTAGCGTTCCTTAGTGTAGTAAAAAAAAAAAGTTACACAACTACTGCTCAAGTACACTGGTGCTGAATAGCGTAGCTTACAAAGAGAAAACACTAAATTGCATGTTCTACTTCGTCAATGTATGGACCGGTGCTTTGTTGACTGTAAAGAGCAGCAGACCAGCCAGCATCAGATAATAAAACTCCAGAAGGTTTATTGCGTCTTGCATAGTTTTTCTCATTCTGGGCACCACTTAGATGCTGGAATGAGGACCTTTCACTGTTGAGGTAAGAAGACAGAACCTCTCCCTGCAATGGCAGCACCTCACGCAATACTGCCTTTCTTGGTTTCCCAATGGCACCCAGAGATTAAAAGAGGCTGCTTGACTTCAAGACCCATGTTGCCATGCTAACTGTCATTGTGAAAATCTATGACATAAGCACTACCATTACCTATTACCATTACTAATGGTACTATCTACTGCACATGCATGAGATTTAATGCAGGCATAGCGGGCAGACCTATGTAACTAGAAAGTGGAGCTAAGACACGGGTTAAGGGGGCATAATCAGAAGTTGTTAGAAATTATAAGGCATGCTACTATGATTATTTTAAATAATTTTCTAGTGTTGCCTGAATGCCCGTAGCTCGGACCCCGGCCCTACTACTATGCTCCACTTTAGATCCCCCCACGGTGCATATTATGCTTTTTTTCTATACATCCCTTTATTAGATTTATTCAGACCAATTACATGATGCACCGGGTGCTCTTCCTCTACACTTGGGGGTGAGTGGTCCACAATGATGCAGAGAGTGGCATTGCCGTCATGATGTCAGCGCAGGTTGCCATGGTGACACCCCGATCAATGACTGTGCTAATTTGACATTAAACAAACTAAACTTACTTCAGCTTGAAATCATCTGCTGCCAATCTGGCGTTGTCGATCTGCAAGACTATGGTATTATTGTTGTTGAAGGCTACAATAATCTGTAAGACACAAATGAACACGGTTTTTGTACTTGTGACATGTTACCCTAAAAATATTTATTTATAATATATATATATAAAAGCCTTTCTCAGAATACAAAAAACCCTCCCCATGCCATGGGTCTACTCCCCGCACCGCAAGGGGTAACTGTTCCTTTTTGTCTAGGGGGATTCTTTGAAGCAGTTTTAGTTACCGGATCTATGCTCCTGCTGATTCCAAGAACAGCACCCGCAGACTACTCCCCCACTTCGGTGGTGAGAGGCCCGCTGATGGTCTACTGCTAGGCCCATAGCTCTGCATTCGATTTGAGGATGCCAAAGAACATTCCACAGCCCAAGCAGAAGGGAGGGAGGTGAGCGCTGACTGCCAGGGGATTGGGGATCAGGTAAGTAAAACTGCTTTAAAGAATCCCCCTAGACATAAATAAGCAGGTAGCCTTTGCAGTGCAGGTGTAGCCTAGCTTTATGGAGAGGGGTTTAACATTCTTCCAACCTGATTAGGATAACGCAACACAAGGGCAGAATACAAGGTTTATGCTCTATTCTAAGCATATTTCCTTTCTTTACAAACAAAAATGTTATACATTGTAGCTTACCAGTCCTTAGATGTCCTGAAGGGCATTCATTTTCTTTTTTCTGCAGTCTTTTTTTTCCATTTATTTTCACCTGGTGATCCTGCCAGCAACACAATTTCCGTCCTTAGGTGGCAACGTTCACTTACACTCACTTACCGTATTGTATCTATGGAGGAGCATTGCCACCCTAGAAAAGGGCTACAGACCCCCTTTCCCATCTCAGTAACAGAGAAGGAAGGTGTTTTGTAGTTCTCAGAGAGAGCTGGGAACAGTGGTAACTGAGCTCAGCTTACAAGATTGCTGGCAGGATCAATTGGTATATTTTTGTACTTCCCAAATACATATAACAAAATGATTTCATTGGTTTATTGAACAGATCAATTGAGACCAAATAAAAGTTAATTTTTGTGGTTTATGTACACTTTACCCTGCCAAGAAAACAATCAGGACTGTAAAATATTAGTACTGAATTTAATTAACAGTGAAATTTTGGGTTGCTCGATGTGACCATTGAGATGTAAAAAAAGTCAACAATTGAATCAATTAGCTCTGACAACTGTATACATGTGTGGTAGAGTATAAAAAAATGTGATATCACTGATTCTCATATTTAAAAAATATATTTTATCTTTTTTTAACAGTATTATTAATTGTATTTCCTATTTTCCAAGTATTTAAATCACAGTTGACATGCTATTTGCACAATTTGGCTATTTATGCAAAATTCACAGTACGGTATCATTTAAAATATGATCGGAAGGTTTGTACCATTTCCTGAATTTGTACATTTAACACATTCTCCAATTTTTTTAAACCCGAATCTAAAAAAAAAATATTTTTTAGCTTTTGATACAATAGAAACAGTGCCTCTGTGAGGTTATTTTCTATAATTTGCTGTCCTGGTAATGGTGACAGGAAATGAAGGAAAGCCACAGAAAAGAGTCACCTTCACCTTATCAGTCCTTCAATCTGGTGGCTGAATTACTTTTGTTTTTTTTCAGGCTTCTTTTCTGTTATTTTTTCCTGGAGATCCTGCCAGTAACACACATCTTGTCTGATGTGGCTATGCTTGTCTTGTATCTATGGAGGAGCAGCAGAGTAACTCTAGGCTGCTCTCCTGATTTGGACCATATACACCTCTTCTCCCTATTTCTATTACATAGAGTGGAGGGGTTTTATGGTTCACAAAAGTTAGCTGGGAAAGCCAATAACATTGTTTGAGACCTCAATTCAAGCCACCACATCTAAGGACTGGCTGCAATATATAACCGTTTTGTTCTTGGTTTTAGTAATCCTTTAAACCCTTCCTGGCCCATTGCAGTTGGACTTTATACTCATCCTATATATGAGGGTGACATAATATACTGTGCTACAAAGTTGCATACTGAATAGTTGTATTATCTTTGTACCTGTCATTAGGAAGATAAAGCAATTTTATTAAAGTATATATGTCAATAGAAAAATATGGGGCTGCTTTTGCCAACCTCTTCTTTGAAAATGCTAGTTGCTTGCCTTCAATGCATCCGAGTCCAGACCCTGAACAAGTATTCAGTGCACTCAAAGACAGTGAAAAGTAAGAATTCCTGATCTTTATACTTGTTCCAGGTCAGTGACTTAGAAAGCCAAGCATCACCATGACAGACAGGTAGCTATCATTCTCAGTAGCAAAGGACAGCAATGGAAACCTGCATATTTTTGTTCATAACAGGTGTACATGGTGCGCAATAAAGCACTTACTGTTAAATCACTTGATATTCCCTTTAAATACCTTTTATTATTATCATTGGCAGTTTTTTAAAGACATATTCAAACATTTTTAAATAAATGCACTTGCATTAATAAAAAAATTGCATTTATGAATATTTTGCATTGGAGCCTCAATCAGTGGATCATGGGAGTAATGCACAGGCTCCTGCAGATTATTCCACCAGCCCCAAGTCCGCATTGAGGTACGGAACTTCCGCGAACTTCCGTACTCAATGGGCTACAAGTGTGATGATGTCACTGTACTTGTGCTCCATTAAGGTCTATGGGTTCCACTGCCATGGTGGCTGATGGGATTTGTATTCTTCTATTTACAGATCCATGTGAATGGATCTGTGAATGGATGGCAATGTGTGGGTGGAGCCACATACAGCTGTGAGAAATAAAAACAAATACAAAATGCTGCAGGTAAGGGGGGTGGTTTGAGGGTGGGGGGCAGAGGACTGTACCCATTTACACGCTAAATATGTCTATAACATTAAACATGGTCAGACAGGTGGAATTAGCCTTTAAAACAAGAATGCACATCTATGACAAACTTACTTTAGCCTTTAGATCTTCAATGGTCTTAAAGTAGGGTGAGTAGTCTTTTCCTTCCCCTGTGGTGCTACCAGCTCTTTGCTTGTCTAAGAATTCCTTAATCTTTTTTTCAAGATCAACATTTGCTGCCTCTAACTGTTTGACTCTGTCCAGATACGTAGCAAAGCGGTCGTTAAGATTCTGCATTGTCTGTTTCTCATTGCCGCTAAAAAACATTTCACCGCCTCCATAGCCTGCATCAGCGCCACCATAGCCTCCTCCAGCAGCACCACCACCATAGCCTCCTCCAGCAGCACCACCACCATAGCTTCCTCCAGCAGCACCACCACCATAGCCTCCTCCAGCAGCACCACCACCAAAGCCTCCCCCGACTGCACCACCACCAAAGCCTTGACATTGAGCAGCATCATAAGCAAAACCAACTTTTTGCTCAAAACCTTGGCCACAGCCTTGACCATAGCCAGCTTGGCCATAACCACCACCTACTTGGCCATAACCACCTTGCATACCACCTACACCACACTGACCAGATCCACCAGAAAATTGCATAGACTCTGCTTTGTAAAAAGCCATGTTCAAGCAAAAGGACTCCCTATCTAGATGAAAACAAAGCAGCTTCGATTTGAGAGTAATATCTTAACCCAGTTAGTTCTTTATATATGGGATCTAAAGGCGTGTCCTAGATGAATAATTATTTTTTTATTTAACAAGCAGTAGATAGCTTGCCAAGTTATTGCCAATGTGTATCACTTAAATCAATAATAACTAATGATCAGCTTGCATCATTTAAGCTGCTGGTCTTCTCAAACTTGTTTGTTTGCCACGTTAGCATGATTTTTGGGTGGAGTACTGGAGACGATCAAAGCACCAGCACAAACAGCACATTTCTAATTACTTTATAATGTTCAAGACTGAGGAACATTGATAAAGCAATCTATCTGACATTCACCACACTTTCATGGCAGGTGAATCTTCCATGTGCATGTGTTCTACACTACAGTGATTGAATCGCCTCAAGTGAATGGTCAAAGGCTCATTCATTGATTCCTACATCTAGTAGGGCTATTCAGTACAATATGGCAAGCTAAGGTCATATTCTTTAAAGCATAAATGTTGCTATCTGCTAAAAAAGCATTTTTAAATGTACTTGCTACGATGCATATTCAACATGCTAATAAGAAAATATTACAGTGGTGGGTACTATGTTTATTTGTAATATATTTAAAATGTGTGCTAACCCTTTTGGATTGTTAACTATCCTATTTAAAGCATTTTGTTATATTTGTTTTGATGCATGCAAAAAAATACTCCCTAATCATGTCAGAAATTCAGAGCTGTCTATTGTACACTTCCTGTGTTATCACAAACATATAGCAATAAGTCTCCATGTTGTAGAGAACAGGAGAGTAAGATGGGTGAGTAGATTAGCAAAGACTACTGGGCATGGCTGACACCACTCAGTCCACCAAAATGCATTGAGTTGTTGGCCGACGGGCCAACAGGTATTTGTCTGTAAAGGGAAAAAACATTGGGAAATGTGCATGTATTATAGAGATGTTCTGCATAGTTTGCCCTGACATACACTTTAGTCTGCCCGATGGCCAACTGAAAAAGTATGCAAAGCATGCTGCTAACACAGCTGCTGACTGTGAGGCAGTGGTTTAACATTTTTAGAATGAAAAATTAAAGAGGAACTTCGCTCCCTACCTCATTTTTTTTAATCCCCTGTGATGTCACGGCTGGCTTCGCCAAGTTGTTGTCCTTCATTGACAGACCAGCATCCTTGAGGACACTGGGCTGTCATTAAATGACAACAACTGGGCGGAGCTCTGCCAAGTTGTTTTCATTTGTCGTGGACCTGCGGGTAGACTTTGGCAGGTGCTGGCCAAATGTAAACAGTTGGGCGGAGCTAGCGGTGATGTCACTTTTTGTTTTTAACGTGGCATGCCTCCTAACTTTTCTACCAGACATAAAGGGTCTGGTATGGTTTGGGAGGGGGACCTATGGGAATCAGCCAGTCCAGATATTGGATCAGCTGACTCGAGCTGCTTCTGCACCGATGCCGGCTGAGGTACGGCTGATTTTAGCTGATGTAGGGCTGAAATCAGCTGTACAGAGCCAAAGTGAATATCCGAACGCCGTTCGGATCAGTTCACCTCGTCTAGGGTATTCACTTTGGCAGCTGAGTGAATGACCCTCAAAGACATTTAAAACACAGGTACACTTCTGGACTTGAAACAACAGTTTGGGGAAGGCTCTTTTCTATTCCAGCATGACTGTGCCCCCTGTGTACAACACCATGTCTTTATCTCCATAAAGACATGGTTTAATGAGTTTGGTTGGGAGGAACTTGTGGGGGGAACTTGTGGGGTCTGCACAGAGCTCTGATATCAAGCATACTGAAAACTTTCTGGATGCATAGGAATGGTAATTGCAAACCAGGCCCACTCATCCAACATCAGTACCTGACTTCTCAAATGCTCTTTTGGCTAGATGGAAACAAATTCCCACAGAGACCGTACAAAATCTTGTGGAAAGGCATTTCAACAAAGGCTGTTAGAGCGTTAGAGGACAACCCCATATTAATGTCCATGGTTATGGAATGTAAGAAGTCCAAGAAGTCTTATATAAGTGTGATGGTCAGGTGTCAACAAACGTTTGGTCATATATGGTAAGAGGAAAATATGCTAAAGAGTGGATAGGTATTAAAACCCCTGTCTGTAAAGCTTTGATCAAATTCAACAAAAATCTTTCAGGTGGTAGAGGAAGCCAGGTAGCTTGCTTTTCAGCTGAGCACACCAGTATGTAAACTGTACAATAAGTGAGAGAGTACAGTACTAAACTGCAAACTGATGTAGAAAGTGGTCAACACCACACTGGAGGGGCAACCAATTTGCAGACTGCCTGTCTTTGCGGCTCACTCATTGATATTCCCTCTTGTATGAATCTTTATTCATAAATCTGCTATGCATACAAACAGGCTTTTATACATGATGGATTTTAAATCACTTAATCCTGCCCCATGAACATTGGTTCTATGTAATCAGCTCGATGAAGGAGACACTTTATTTGCTCAGAAACACATTGGCTGTAGATTCTCATAAACAATAAACACTAAGCAGCTAATCTAAAAATGTTCCACTCAGCATATAGCTGTGTGAATGCCATTCACGCAGGAATTTCCTATGCTTCTCAGCTCTACCTAGTGGTGAGAATTGCTCGTGAACGGTTTTCACCCAGCTATATGCTGGGTGAAACATTTATATATCAGCCTTATACTGCATGTTAGGGGTGCCCAGATTTTTTTGTGTTAATATCTACTTTTCAAATGACGAGCTCAATGAGATCTACCAATAAACAAAAAAAACACCTCCCCTGCTCTCTCTTCTTGCTCTCTCTCCTGGCAGTCTGTCAACGCTCTCTCCCCTGGCTGTCTCTCCTCTCTCTCCTCTTGCTCTCTCTCCTTGCTCTTTCTCCTGGCTATATCTCCATTCTCTCTCCCATGGCTGTCTCTCCTCGCCCTTCCCTTGGCTGTCTCTCCTCGCTCTCTCCTGTGCTTTCTCTCCTCTCTCTTTCCCGGGCTGTCTTTTCTCTCTCTCCCCTGGCTGTCTCTTCTTTCAGAGGCAGCTTCAGCAGCTTTATACCTGCTTTCCATATTCTTCGCACAGACTATCCTGTCCTTGTGCAGTGCTAGTGTGGCCAAATGTGTTTGGTCACTGCCCAGTCTCGCTTGCAGCACCCGTCTAGTAGCCCTGAAGGGAGCCAGTAGGATCTGAGAATAATTTACTCCAAAACTGAGCAATTAACCCTTGTAGTGCAGGGGTAGCCGCCCTGCAAAGTTACTTTTGTTGTTTGCCTATAATAAAATCTTGTCAAAATAAAGAGAAATCTTTGACAATAGTGGAGGACAAAGCAGTTGACAATACTGGAGGCCAAAGCAGTTGCAGCAGGAAGAAAAGATGTGAACACAATGTTTACCGGTTGAAGGTCTAAAACTCCTGTTTATGAACAAATGCAGAGGATAGGATCCATGCTCAATGTGCAGTTGCTTTTTAAGAAAATCTGCATGTTCGTGAGGTTTTTTAAATTACAAAATGGAATGGACTTTCTTTAAGCACAGCTTGGGTTTCATTGGGATGTTTTCTCCCTCTGAGCTTTGTCTTCTGGAAAGAACCAGTCTTCCCCACGCTCATGTGAAAGGTAATATGGCTGAACCTCTCTGGATTATGCAGTGTTTATCAGATCTGCTCATGGAAATCATGGTCTATGTTCAATGTAAAATAATGCCACAGTCAAAATTCCCTATTTGGCACTACCTAAGGGCCTGCTGGCATTGTATTGTGGCCCACAGAGCCATTGGTACAACAGGGGCCTTACACATACAGTGTGTGTATATATATATATATATATATA